TATTGATCGTTTCCACAAAACTTCCACTATATCTATGCTGATACACTTCATCCCTTGAGCTTAATACCATACACTTGAACTAGTAAAAAGGGAATGGAAGAGTCAGTTTCGCTCGATGATTCTAATAACATATGCAATTTTCATTTATTAACTATAGAATTAAATTTAAGTTTTTAAGTAAATACTTCAGACATTTCAACAGATTTTATTTATTTTCCATTTTTTAGATTTTTTGTATTCAAAATTTTCTCACTTATTTTTTTAGCGCCAAAATTATTCACACAAATCAAAAAATTTTGTACACAAACCCAACTGTCATATTTCATGCGTTGCCAATTATTTTCAAACGTGATCCGTATCGTTTCAGCAAAGATGATTCAGATCATTGAGCGGATCATCTTTGCTGAAACGATACGGATCACGTTTCAAAATAATTGGCAACGCATGAAATATGCCAGTTGGGTTTGTGCACAAAATTTTTTGATTTATGTGAATAATTTTGGCGCTAAAAAAATAAGTGAGAAAATTTTGAATACAAAAAATCTAAAAAGTGGAAAATAAATAAAATCTGTTGATATGTCTGAAATATGAAACTTCAATTTAATTCTATAGTAAATAAAATGGAAATTGCAGATTTTATTAGAATTATCGAGCAAAACTGACTCCTCCATTTTCTTTTTAAACACTAGTCCAAGTGTATTAAGTAGGTGCTGTTCACATTATTCGAAGTTTTTAAAAATTCGAAGTTCTTCGAATATTCGAATATTCGCATTTCAACGAAGTCTTCGAAGTTGGAAAAAACTTCGAAGTTTTTGTGAATTTTTGTTCTCGAAGTCTTCGAAGTTTAAATGTAGTGAAAAACTTCGAAGACTTCGAAGACTTCGTAAGCAAAAGGTGAAGTGAGAGCGCAAAATGCAAACAAACGTGCATCACACAAATTATTTGAGGGATGAAAGCATTTGCTTTGTTTGTACGGTTTTATGTTTTTTGTTGTTATTCTATGCAGAAAATTAAAAACATGTTTTTTTGTTTTATTTTATTACATAAAATTTATTTTATTATTAAATATGTATTATAATATATATTATTTTTAAATATGTTATTATTAAATATTTTTTATATTAAATAAAAAATTCACATTTTAAATAACTTATATTTATTATTTATATGTAAAAAATTATATTTATGAAAATTTTTAATATAATATAAAATACATGAAAATTTGATGGAATTTCTTTTATACAATTTTGCTTATACACTAATTTACATTTTATTTAGATACTTCCTTATAATATTATGTATTTCTTTTCCTAGAATAAGGGATTTAAAATTTTTCCATAAACAGTAAAATAACTGTAACTACAACAAAACATTCAAAATTTTATAATGCAAAAATAAATTTGCGCTTGCCTGCGTGATCATCACAGCTCATACAGGTCAAATAATTAGGCATTAATAAGCAAAACTCATTTTTCCATAACTAATTTTCAAGATTTTAATTTGTGATTTTATTGAAAAGGAAAATGAAAACTTTTATAAAATTCCATTACTAATAAAATCCATCAATATCAATATTTTCATATTATTACGTATATATTTTATATTATATTAAAAATTTTCATAAATATAATTTTTTACATATAAATAATAATAAAAGTTATTTAAAATGTGAATTTTTTATTTAATATAAAAAATATTTAATAATAACATATTTAATAATAATATATATTATAATACATATTTAATAATAAAATAAATTTTGTGTAATAAAATAAAACAAAAAAACATGTTTTTAATTTTCTGCATAGAATAACAACAAAAAACATAAAACCGTACAAACAAAGCAAACGCTTTCATCCCTCAAATAATTTGTGTGATGCACATTTGTTTGCATTGTGCGCTCTCACTTCACTTTTTGCTTACGAAGTCTTCAAAGTCTTCGAAGTTTTTCACTACATTTAAACTTCGAAGACTTCGATAACAAAAATTCACAAAAACTTCGAAGACTTCGTTTACTATTCGAATTTCTTCGAATACTTCGTAAATTCGAATATGAACAGCACTAGTATTAAGCTCAAGGGATGAAAATTGGAAAGTGGAAATTTTATGGAAACGATCAATAATTGTCCCGTTAAAGATTATTTGATTGGTGTTTGCGCATAAAAAATACAATTGCTATATATTAATTATGTTTTATATTTTAATAGATTTGTTAATAAAATCCAATCAGCAAATACAAAATAACCGTGGCGGTTACAATTGAACGAGAGCAATGAAGGAAATTTACATATTTTTGTGGTATATGGCAAATATAAATACTTTTCGCGAATTTGGTATTTGTTTTGGCATACCAAAAGCTTCTGTATGCAGAATAATTGAAAGAACTAGTGTTTAGCTTATATCAATTACAAAATTTCCGTTCGTGATTGACAGCACACATGTTAAAATAAATGAACCTCACCTTAGCAATTAGGCTTATTTCAGAAGGAAGCATGAATATAGCTTAAACTTGCAGGCAGTTTGCAATGGTTTTTTATAAACGTGTATGTTGGAGAGCCTGTTTCCTTATGTATTATTCTGTTTTAATTAAATAAATGTATTCAACTTAATTTTTAAATATTCATTTCAAATTAATTGATTTTTATAAATTATCAAACAACACTTTTTTAATAATAGTAAAACGTAAATAATTAAGGTAATAATTTTAATTAATTTTAATAATTTTAATTTGTAATAATAGTAATAATTAAAATATTACTTTAAACGAAGAAATAAATAATAATGACATATTAAATAAATAAGTACATAAAATAAATAATAAATAAATAAATATAAATGTAGATTTATTTGTTTATAATTTTACTACACCGTTGCGTCGCATTGCCAACCTCATTTGCATTAAAATACGTTCCACTTTTATCTTTTACATACATTCCACATTGAACCAAAAAGCGAACCAGATCAATTGCTGGTTTACCCCATTGTTTTTGTTTTGCATGTAAAATTGAGCGGATCATGTTTGCTGAAACGCAGCTAATATAATTAATATGTTCATATTTAGGATACTAATCATAGATATTGCAAACAATAAATAACTTTACATACTTTACTATATCCCCTTATATGTATATAATCCATATATTTAAAGTATCAACAATGTATACAAATTATATATTCTATATGCTATTCAACTAAATAATTAATTATAAATTAATAATCCTATGAAAGGTTATAATATTTAAAATAATTACCCTTATATAATTATGGGGTTACAAATTAAAAGTTCAAATGCAATCTTCAAATTGAATTAAAATATCGAATTGTAAAATGTAAATACCTTGCTAAATAAGAGGAAATTTATTCAAGAATTCTAAATTATTATACCTAATTTATAAATATTGTATATTTGTCTCTAAACATTATTCATAAATATAATATCTATATTAATGTTTTACATACAACTATATAATCACGTGAATATATTCATAAATTGCTATACATATCACATTTTGTAAATAAATAACCTCTTAAGTAAATGTGTTAATAAATGTATTAATGAAATATACAACAAATATCTTATATATATATAATAAGGTACATATTATAATGTATAACCTATCCTTCAAATTTTAAATAATAAATATATTTATATATAATTGTATTATAAATCATGCTATAAATAGATAAATAATAATAAATTAAGATTCATATATAAATACATTAACCTTATTTAATTTTGTCTTTATTACCAATATAAGCTTAAACTGTATCATTGCGAATTCAATTAAATCAATTAAAATGAAATTAACAATGAACCTTTCCTTGATACATAATAATACTAAATATGTTAAATGAAATTAAATATAAATTAAAGGAATATTAAATATTGAAAATTGAAATATTGAAATATTAAATATATTAAAATATTAATGAAAATATTAAATATTAAACATTAATAGGAAATATTAAATATTAAAAGAAATATTAGTATTAGTATTAGTAAAAATGCGGAATATCAAGTTATCTATATCTGAACATTCATCTCTGCACTTCATAGATAATCTATGATACTCTTATTATATTAGTATGAAAATGAACCTATCTTTCATGATTACATGATATTACTAAATATGATTATAATAATAAATAATAATTATTAAATAATAAATATTAATAATAATAAATAATGGTACATAACATAAATATAGCTATACTGATCCTATTTTCCCTAATGGTTAGTGTTAATTTAAACTTTATTTATATATAAAATATAAATATAAAATAAATAAATAAAATAAAAATATATTAAATAAAATAAAATAAATAATTAAATATATTAAATAAATAAAATAAATAATAAAATAAATTAAATAAATAAAATAATATAATAAATTAAATATTAAATAAAATAAATAAATAAATAAAATAAATAAATAAAATAAATAAATAAAATAAATAAATTATATTAAATAAAATATTAAATAAATAAATAATGGTGAAATGGTGAACATACTTACTAGTTATCGCGATCCGCGACAGCATAAGGGCGGTTTGTTTATTTAATCACAAATAATATTTCTAAATTTTAATAAAAACAAAGTTCACAAAATCATTAAAATAAAAATTGTGTTTTGTATTGTTACCAATACGTTCAAAACAACTGATAGAGACAGCATTTGTTTTTTAACAAAAGTGAGTATTTATAAAAGTGGCGTTGTCATATTGTATATTTCAGTACTTTAAAAAAAAAAAATAAACTTACTTATATTATTACATCAGTTATCATCAAAAGGTAAATATTTTACAAAAAAATAATTTTTAAAAAAAAATCAAAAATTAAGGTCACAACTTGTTAACAACATAGTTCCAAAAGAGCAAACAACCCCAACTTTCGAAACAGACAAGGAAGAGTTTGCTCGAGAAACCGATTGGATCGTTAAAAAAAATAAAAAAAGCGCAAAGCTACCATATCTCCAAGAGTGTCACCAATTCTTAACAATATGACACGAAAGCATTCTGATGAAACGGAAATGGCATCAACCAAGCTACGTCCACCACTAATAATGGTAACTGCCTCTGATAACTACAATGACATAACAAAAATAACACAGATAAGCAAAAATAAAATTTTTCTGAAATTTATAAATAACAGCTTGTGTAAAATCAGCACTTTTGATAGCAACGACTATCTGGAAGTAACTCGGGCTTTAAAGGAAGCAAATTTCTCATGGCACTCTTACGAACATAAACAGTTCAGACCAATAAGAGTTATAGCAAAAAACCTGCATCACTCATGCGACCGTAAAGATATTGTAGGCGACCTCACAGAAAAGGGTTTTAAAATTGTCAGCGCACTTAACAAACTACAATTTAAAACCAAGAATCCATTGGATATGTTCATCTTAACTTTTGAGTCAGTTGAAGACACGAACAAAATTTATGAAATTAAAGAAATCCTAAACACAATAATATCTATGGAAGCAATTAAAGCTTCAAAACAAAGCTGCATCACTCATGCGACCCTAAAGATATTGTAGGCGACCTCGCAGAAAAGGGTTTTAAAATTGTCAGTGCACTTAACAAACTACAATTTAAAACCAAGAATCCACTGGATATATTCATCTTAACCTTTGAGTCAGTTGAAGACACGAACAAAATTCATGAAATTAAAGAAATCCTAAACACAATAATATCTATGGAAGCAATTAAAGCTTCAAAACAAAGCTGCATCACTCATGCGACCGTAAAGATATTGTAGGCGACCACGCAGAAAAGGGTTTTAAAATTGTCAGCGCACTTAACAAACTACAATTTAAAACCAAGAATCCACTGGATATATTCATCTTAACCTTTGAGTCAGTTGAAGACACGAACAAAATTCATGAAATTAAAGAAATCCTAAACACAATAGTATCTATAGAAGCGATTAAAGCTTCAAAACTTATCCCACAGTGCATCAAATGTCCTTCAAACATACCAAAAACTACTGTCAAAGACAGCCTAGATGTGTGAAATGTGGAGTCAATATGAATTTCTATATACGCCATTGTCGTTATATTTGTGAATAAAAAATCTCTTCAACGATTTCTTGGAATGACTTCTTACTTCAGAAAATTTATCGAAAACTATGTTTAAATAGCTAACCCTTTATCGGATTTACTTAGTAAAGACGCCGAATTTAAATTTTATGAAAACAAACTTTTATCTTTCCAGCAGTTGAAGAATGCTTTATTAACTGCTCCTGTTCTAAAACTGTTTGATCCAAGTGCTTATACAGAAATTCATACCGACGCTTCAATGTACGGTTACGGTGCTGTTCTTCTACCAAGAGACAAGAATGATAATCAACTTCACCATGTTCAGTTTATGAGTCACAAAATGCAAGCTCATCAACAAAAATACCATTCGTATGAATTAGAAGTCCTAGCACTAGAAGAAGCACTCAAAAAGTGGAGAATCTACGTTCTGGGCACAAAATTTAAAATTACAACCGACTGAAATACTTTTACTATGACGATGAAGAAGCACAACGTGCCACTACGAGTATTGAGGTGGGCCGTGTTTCTCTAGGAATGTGAGCATGAATTAGAGCACAGATCCGGAACTAAAATGGGACATGTAGATGCTCTCAGCAGAACAGCATGCATGATGATGGAAGACGCTTTAAGAAATCGAACACGAACAATTCAAAATGAAGCATGTACCGCAGCAGGATTAACGGGATCTACATAATAGAAGTTCCTATAAAATGCGGAAACAATTTTACGAGGATTTAGTTGAACATTATAAAACGACGTAGCAACACGAATATCAAACAGCAGATCAGCAATTGTCCAATAGAGTACACCATTTTAAAACCAAGCAAAATAGTAATAAATAAACCTAAACAAAGCAGAAAACTCACCACCAGTATTCAAAACTACCGGAAGCATCTTGAAGCAATGGAACGAGCCAAACCTAGGACACAGTTTTTAAAACAGGCAATCCCATTAAAACTGAGGTATAAAAAACAAGCAGAAACCCAGCAGCAAGTGGTTAACAAGTTAACCCAACACAACAACGACACCGATTATTTAGATATCACAGCCGCTGAAGACCTCATGAAAGAGGTCAATGAAATATGCCTGCAGCGACCAATTTCAGCGCTAGCTCCAGAGCCACTACACGCAGAACTTTGGGAGAAGATACAAAAGGACGCTTAGAAATGAGTTTAGTTGATCTAAACTCATTAAAAAAAGTTTATTATTAGTTAATATAAACTTATAAAAAAAATGTTAGTATAAGCTATTAATAAAATTAAGGTATTAATAACTTAAAATGAACTATTTAAAAATTGAGGTATTATTAAGTTAACATAAATAATTTATAACATCAAGTTATTATTAGTTTAATAAAATTAAAAAAAACAATAATCTTCCGTGAAATATAAATCAAGTAGTAACATTTCTCATTTTTTTTGAATGTCATTTATTTTGCCAAATTTTTAATAAATGTGCAGCAGACATGGCAAAACTAGCCGCAGGTATTTAGAGTAGGCAATAACAACTGTAACGACTTCCTTGGGGGTGTAACGTCAATTTTCGTCGCTCTTTTCGCCGGGGTAATACTCAGGGGTTGGTCCTGGGTCGTTACAATAAAATTTATAAATATTAGAAAACCGTGTTTGAAGTTTTGTTTTTTCTCTTTTTAAGCTTTCTTCATTAATCTATTTACTTAAATCTAACAATGTCTTAATTATTCTATGTTTCTATTTTATCTATATGGTATCCTATTACAGGATATTGATTTTGATATTGATATTGATATTACTTTTCTTTCTTCAATGCCAGCGTATTGTTCTTTGATATTTTCTGTAGTTTTCTGTTGATTTCATTTCTTCTATACCTGTTGTAAAAGGGTTATCAATGTTAATGTACAGGCGTGTACACGCCTATATAAGTTTTAGTGACAAAGAATAAACGTGTTCACGCTTATGCAAGGTTTTGATAGCAAATTAGAAACGTGTTCACGCTTATTGTTTTGCTGGAGAAAGGATTTAACGTGTTCACGCTATGCAAGGATTTGGTAGCAAATTATAAACGTGTTGACGCTTATTATTTTACTTGAGAAAGGATTAAACGTGTTCACGCTTATGCAAGGATTTGGTAGCAAATTTTAAACGTGTTCACGCTTATTATTTTACTTGAGAAAAGATTAAACGTGTTCACGCCTATGCAAGGATTTGGTAGCAAATTATAAACGTGTTTACGCTTATTATTTTACTGGAGAAAGGATTAAACATGTTCACGCTTATGCAAGGACTTGGTAGCAAATTATAAACGTGTTCACGCTTATATATTTTGCTGGGGAAAGAATAAAAGATATATATAAATAAATATATATAAATAAAAAAAATAGAAATGTGCTTCTTTATATTTAGCTCCGTGTACATCAGTGCTATGGTAATGTCTCCGAATGATTCACTTGGGGAGTCGATCACTAACTCCGATGATTTCCAGTGTCGATAACTAACTCCGATGACTTCCAGTGTCGATCACTAACTCCGATGACTTCAAGTGTCAATCACTAACTAACTTTTCTAAGTAAATGCGTCTTCTTATATACCCATCAGACCAAACTGTAACGTAGCGCAAAGCTTAGTTTACAGCTGGTTGGCATTTTTGACGTAGTTGCTCTTTTGCGCTTTCGCTGTAGGTAATATGCGCGAGTTATGTACCATGATATAACTACTTCCGTTTATTTAAAAAAGTCTGTTACCAACAAATATTTGGTGACATACTTTTTATTTAAATTAATCATTTTTAATAAATTGCAAAATAAATTAAATGCATTTATTCTACAATTTATATTTCATAACACTTCCGCTTAAATTGTAATTCGAAACGCCGATATTTAATTTGCTTTCTTATAAGTTTTAAAAATGCAATATTGGCAATCGAAAGAAAGCGGCTAGCATTAAGAATAAGATTTAAAAAGTGTTCAGTAACTTATTATTAGTGAAATAAACAAGTTCGATCAAAAAATTAATTTTGATTTTTATTTAATTTATGTTTTTATAAAAAAAACATAATTGGCGCAGTCGACGGAAAAAAATTCAAAAGAATTTTTAAAAGAACTTAAACCAATTAAAAATATAAAATTCATAAGAATTTTTAAAAATAAGTGTATTCAAAAATAAGTATAAGAAAATAAGACTTCAGTGCATAAAGTGGACAATTATTCATTTAAAAGTTAATTTTCAATTTAAATAAACTTAAGCAAATAAATTAAAAGTGACATAAACTTCATGAAAAGAAATTTAATATTTGATAATAATAGAAAAGAATTAAAAATGGAATTTCAAACAAAAATAAATGAACTGGAAGAGGTTATCAGAAGACAAGAACAAATTATTCAAGGACATTTACAACAACAGCAATTACAGCAACAACAACCAATGTACGAAAACTTAATGTTGCTCAGTCCAAAAGACATCATTCAACAATTTCGGCAAATAAAACCATTTGGAAATGGACATAACCTATCTGCTTTCATAAAATCAGCAGAGTTAGTCATGGATCTATGTGGAAACAACAAAACGCTTTACGATTTTGGACTACAAATAATTATAAATGATAAAATAGTTGGAGAAGCAGGAATACATGTACGAGAACTTGGAGACGAAGTTACATGGCAGCAGATAAAGAAAAAATTAAAGGAACGGTTCAGACCTCGAGTATCTTATGGCGATATTTTTAACAGGTGCCGCAGTATTAAAGTAAGTAATTTGCGAGAATTATTTAATTATTTTGAACAATGTAAATACCAAATAAATGAAATATATGAATTTGATGAAGATAGGCCAGATATTTATCAACCAAGAAATGTTGATAGGGATTTAGTCAATATTTTAATTGAAAAAATTGATGGGCCACTCAGGGCTCACCTCGATGAATTGAATTCATTAAATGATATTATAACGAAATATACAAAACTTAGGCTTCTCGATGATAATAGAGCTATACATTTCAAACATAAAAAAAATAGAAATGAAAGAAATGTTGTCGATACTAAACCATCAAACTATAACACAAATAGACAGAGTCATAACAATGAAGCAAATTTTGGTCACTATAGAAATAATTATAACAGAAATTATAATGAAGGGTGTAATACTAATTCAGGGCTATATAGAAAGCAAAACAATGATAATAATAATTCATGTCAGTACAGAAATAATTATAATAGGAATTACAATGAAGGTTTCAATGCTAATTCAGGGCTATACAGAAAGCAAAACAGTAACAATACCAACTCAGATCAGTACAGAAATAATAATAGTAGGAACTATACTAGTTCAGGACTAATCAGAAACAATGACAATATTAACAATAGTTATGCCAATACAAGCCAAACGAGACGAAATCAAGTTGAACCAATGGAAGTTGATAATGTACAACAAGAACATTTCGAAGAAACAGAAGGAAATTTTCGTGTACCGGTGGACACACTAACTTACCGGTAGTAGAACTAACAATAGGAAACACTAAAATTAAATGCCTGATCGACACTGGGTCGACGACATCATTACTTGACAAAAATAGGCTTAAACAATACAAAAGACTAGAACTAAACAAGAATATCAAATTTAGCACACTTAATGGACAAATAGAAGTATACCACGAAGTAATTACCGAACTTCCAAAAGAGTTCAAAGAAAGCAATAATATTTGCTGGAAAATTACATCCTTAAAGAATAGAGGTTTCGATGCAATAATCGGTCAGAATATCCTAGTACCCATGAACGCCGTTATTAATATGAAAGAGCATTACATTCAAATTCGAAATGAAAAAATTAAGTTCTTTGATGCATGTCCGCACAAAAGTGAAGACATATTCAGCCTTGAAGAATGCAATATATCAAACGATTTAATTAAAAAATTAAAACGTTGTGATTTTAATAGCGAAGAGGTTCAAAATCTTGAAACTTTAATTACTTCCAATCAAGATTTATTTTATCAAGAGGGAGATAAACTAACCCATACCCATGAAATACACCACGAAATTATAACTAGTGTTTGTAAACCAATTTATGCAAAAGCATATAGGTACCCTCAAAAGCATGAGCAAGAAATTAATATGCAAATACAGCAAATGCTACAACAAGGAATTATTAAAGAAAGCAATTCACCTTTTAATTCACCATTGTGGATTGTACCAAAAAAAATGGATAATTCTGGTAAGGAGAAGTGGAGAATTGTCATTGACTATCGTAAACTAAACGAGGTCACTATTGACGATAAATTCCCCATTCCCAGTATTGAAGACATTCTAAATAAGCTTGGAAAATCCCAATATTTTACTACTCTGGATCTTGCAAAAGGTTTTCATCAAGTTTTGGTAAGTCAAAATGATAGACCAAAAACAGCATTTTCTACACCAACAGGTCATTACGAATACGTTAGAATGCCTTTTGGGTTAAAAAATGCTCCTGCAACGTTTCAAAGGTTAATTAATTC